ACTATTAGGACACTTGCTTATTCTTTTAAAATTTATTTCACATTATAAAAGCAGATATTATGCAAAAATTGAATTAACTTTTTAAAGATTTTACTAAAAGTTAGTAGCTTTTTCACATTCTAAAGTTTGTTCCCTTTAGACAATTAAGGATTATTTTGGCGGTGAATGTGAATGATTTGATGAATAATAATAATAAGATTCCACCAGTGGAAATCTGATCAACATCATATTAAAATGAACTAGGTACAAAGTGCAATCTTAGTTGACATCAAGATCCGTTTAGCATCGGTAAGGGCAAAAGAAAGATTCTGACAATCACAAAAAGAACGTACAACTAAGCTTAGTCGATGTAAGTTAGCTCAGATTAGTGGTAAAAAGAAAGCGACTATTAATAAAAAGAAAAGTAATCCAGCTAAAACAAGAATTATGGCTACTGTCTTTAATAATGATATGTTGCCAGTACTAGTAGAATGTTAAGTGTTGAGTTATTTTCTTCAGGCAATGGATGTACGTATGCATAATTTAAAATGTTTGGTTAATTATTATTATGTTTAATGTGTTTTTGCAGTTAATGAACATATATCTACTACTGAAGCAGATAATGAAGATTTGTGTGCTGCTGAAGAGCTTTGCTTAATTTACAAAACTTCGTTTAGAAGCAGAAAATTGGGATCGATTGTTCAACACAAGTGAAGAGTGGTGATTTAGTTGATCCGTTTTCAAACAGAATTGTCAGTGCCAAAGAACTATCTACTTTAATAGGATTGCAATCCTTCCAGTTATTAGCCACCATTGTGGAATTCGTTGTTTCTAAAGAATAGGAAAAAGGAGATCAGTTATGTCTGTAAAGGATCAAGTTATATTTACTTTTATGAAGTTGAAAACTGATATGCAAGATATAATGTCTTATCCATTTTATTTGGAGTGAATGAAACTTTTTATCATTAAATTTTTTAACATTTTTTAATAAAACTGGTAGAAGTTCTTAGTATGGTATAATTCGGCCTTCAAAACAAGAAATATTAAATACCTAATGTGCCTCTATGTAAGTAAGAGTACTACTTGATTGTACCGAAATCCCAATACAGCAAGCCAAATATCTTTGTTGTAGGCTAAAAAATTACTCTGACTACAAAAAGAGGCATACTATTAAAATATTGACTGGAGTGTCACCTACTGGTCTCATTACTTACAAAAGTGAAGCATATGGTGGTAGAACTTCAGAAATAGACATTTTTTAACAAAGTTCAATACTTGAAGAGTGTGAATCATTTCTCGATAGTAAAATGTTTAACAAAGGTTTTCTTATTGGAAACATAACAGAAGCTGAAGGTATACAAATTATACAGCCTCCTTTCCTCAGTAAAAAAAATCAGTTCAGCCATCAAGAGGCTTTACTTAATGCCAAAATTGCCAGAGCTAGAATTCACATAGAAAGAACCTATCAAAGAATAAAAGTGTTTGTCTCTCTGTATTGGTACTTATGTCCGTTTTTCTTCTATTTATATTGTTTTTATTATACGATACTTCTCTGTATCTAACTAAATTTTAAAATGTACTTGTAAAGCCCAGATAGCTCTAACTCGGGCCTTTGAATATAATAATATTATTTATGTAATTGTATTTACAATAAATACTTTATTATTAATATTATTATTATAATTAATTATAATTCATAAAATTATTATAAACGTATTTACCTTGTACCTACTTGTATTGATACTTGCGTGAAAAATAAAATGTTACTTTTTATATTTCTGTAGCTGGTCTTACAACCCTTTATAGAGCAATTCACCATTTAAATTTAAAAACAAAACTAGTTTTTATACTCAAATAATTAAAAAATTTAAAACAGAACATAAGTATAATTAAAACTAAATAAAATAAACAACTCAACACAATGTCCGACTGAGTAATGACAATGAGAACAAAATCTCAACTAGACTAAACTTTCTTTAAAACCGGTCCTGTGAAAGTTTTGTTTACCAGTGAGCACTCAAAATTGAGACAAAACACAAACATTGCATGCACTAAACAAAGAGAAAACATCTCCCAGTTCGACCCGCTTTTCATCGTTTTATTTACGTATGGATAAGCAGTCTATTTAAACCATAGATATATAACCAAGACAGATAGGATTATTTACAAAATTTTTGAAGAATGAACGGTGGTGTCCGCGGTAGAAACCCAATAATCGGATTGAACATTGATGCCAAGTTTACGTGCTTTTAACTATAGATATATATAACCAAGACAGATTACACAATTTCTGAAGTCAACGCGGATGATCCTCGACAGAAATGCAATATTTGGATAAAATTAAAATATTGTTGCCAAGTTTGCGATGTTTTTAACTGTAGTAATGTTATTGCGTTTGCTTGAAATACTGTTAGGTCTTTAAATTGTCCAAAAAAAAATAACGTCTGACAACAGCGGAACTAGAGTAGACCGCAATCACACTGCAATTGTGGAGGGTCGTATATTGTTTCATTCATTTAATTCCTTCGATACAATACTAGTCCAGGAGCCAGTGAATTTTTTTCGTACTTGTTTTCCCGGTCCGTGTATATTTAAATAATCTATTCCCAGTGAACTGTATATTTAAAATGGAACGCCAATCTATTAACAAAAGTAAGCCGGATTGAATTCGCGCATTACGTCACATCGATACAAGTGAGATTGTTTACAAAGTGCCTTTGCAGGCCTATTTTGCCCATTTCATGTATTTGTTTTTAAAACATGTTAAATTACTATTTTTGAAACTCAACAACGAAAAAATCCAATTAACTCTTCCGTTGTATATACCGGGTGTTCAATTTAAAGTGTTACAGTTAAATACCGCCGAAAATATGCATTTTAGAAAAAAAGTTTCAGACAAAAGTTTTATAGTTTTTTGGGGGAAACATTTTGGCTAAATTCATTTTTTTATAGCTGACTATAATATGGCCATATCGAGGTAAACTTTGTTTTTTTTTAAATGGGAATCCCATTTTTTCTTACATATTCTTAAAGTACATAAAAAAATAAGAAACTTTTGAAGGAAATATTTTTTTATTGGACTTTTACTTTTTGAGTAAAAGCTACTTGAAAATGTTGCTGCGCGAAAAAAAAGTTGGCCATATTATGGTTAGCTATAAAAAACGATTTTAGCCAAAAGTTTTTCCCTACAAAACTATAAAACTTTCGTCTTAAACGTTTTTTTTTTTATAAAAAGCGGCATACAGCTATAACGCTTTAATTTAGAACACCCGGTATATATAAGATAAATTAACTGAAGTTTTATTAGTAAAGTATTAACACTAAAATTTTCCATAAAAACGACCCCATCTCAAGCAACTTATTTTCACTGATTTAAGTTATCGATTCAGGTTTTATTTTTGTTTTAATAAATTAAAAGTATTCTTTATCGTTAATAACAATTTAATAGATGAGAAATACGTTTTTTACATTTTTAATGTAATTTACAGAAAATAGCTAGGTATGTATTTGTTTTTAAATAATTTAATAATTTATGAAAAAAGGGAGTAAATGTGGAACGACCAGTGGCCAGTAGGTCAGTCAATACAATGTATTATATATTTCTATTATAACATAACTAAAATACCTACATCTTTTAATCATAAGGGCACAAATTAAAAACCATTTTATATGCATTATAATGAAGTAATAATAACTTAAAGAGACGAGGTCTTAAAGTAATAGCTGGTACAGCATGTTTTTTAAACGTTTTCTCATTCCTGCTAGAATGAAATCACTTACTATGAAATGTGCTCTAAAAATGGCATTTATAGCAGTCAGTGTTTCAGTCTTAAGATCTCTTCCTAAAGCCCTCATCCAAGCTGCATACATATTAAAAAATAATCTAAAAAAAACATTATATACCTATATAGTTTTCGGTTCTGGGTAGATATCAACTAGAAGCATGTAATTAATGGTTATAAAGCTTATTTTAACACAAAAAGAATAAAGCACTAGTCGAAAAGCAGCAATTAAATATAAATAGACCACAATATTAAAATTCAAATTAAAAACTATATAGAAGACAAATACTCTAAAAGCGCAAAAGATCAAAACCAAATAAAATGAATAACCATAATAACCTAAAAATCAAACTAAAATTGCAAAAACTATTACTGTAAAATCATGAGATTACATCAATAATGCATATGCGTCGGGGTATCGCAAATGTCAAAAGTACAGTGTTTCCATGAAAATTTAGCTATATTTTTAGCAGTATTATAGGACCATTTCTACCACGCGCATCCAACGATATTGGCGTTCCACAGTTCACTGTATTTTCCTCACACCTCTAGTATAAATGATTTGACAACGAAACTAACAATAATTATAATTAATGTAGAATAATAAGTGTTTCGTGAATTTTAAATAAAACAATTATTATATGAAAGTGTAAGAGGAAATGTAATTTATTTTCCTATTTTCTTCTGTAATATCTTCAATTATTATGTTTAATTTCTATAAATAAACCAACTGGTTAGGTGAAACATTGTGATATAAGATTTTATTTATGTGTTCTATGCGTACACTTTAATATACAAAACACCTGGAACATTCTTTAAATAATTGTGGTCGTAGAAATAATTATGTACATAACTCGTTTGAAAGTGTATTTTATGCACTTGCCAAATATATTATCCATACAGATTAATCAGACTATTTTTTTACTTAACTTCAGTACATCTCTTACTACTAAAACTATTTTTATCAATGGAAAAAAAGGGCCGTGTTCTCGTATGTTTTGACGCATTTTCGGCCTCAGCCCATCGGATCCCCCCTCTAAATATATATGAATTTTGCTTAGAATTGCTAATCCTACAATTCTCTATTCAGGCTTGCTGACTGGGAAAATAAATACCGAAAATCGTCACTGTCTCCTGGACTATACAATAGATGATGATGAGGACTTCACAACAAATACACTTTTATGAATGGCTAGTTGGGGATGTGATTTAAACTATATATGTCATTGTGACATATATAGATGATAGATTAATATGTCGTTGTGCATTACGCATGATTGCCTTGTAACTGTCAAATAAAAAACACTTGTCACTTTTATGTATGACAATTATCACAAAAAGAATATATAATAGAGCATAAATGTTAACTAACCAGCTATATCCATCGATGGAGTTTCTTAAAGGTGATGAAGAAAGTAATGCACTTCTTAGACATGAGGATAAAGAAGAAACTCCAGCTGCAGTCAACCTTGAAGAAAAACTAGAATCACTATCAACCGTAAAAAGTCAACTGGAGGAATTTGGCGGTTGGTTGAAATCTAACATTCCAACATTTATTAAAACTGAATACGAAGGTGAAGCAACTGTTGGCAAAGAACTGCCGCCTACAAGCGAATTTGCTAAACTTCAACCTCCAAACGATGATAATTATGAAGAATCCACCATCATAGATGATGTCGAATCTCTATCTAAAGATGAGTCTCTTACTGATGAAAAAGATTACCAATTTTCTGATATACAAAGTACAGCTTTAGCAGGTGCAAAATCATTTGGCACTTTTTTATACTCCGCTGTAAACATGGCTGGAAGGGCAATAAGCGAAACAGGTGCTATGATCAAAGAATCAATCGAAAACAGTAGTCTACTCAGTGAGTTCAATCGGGAGCAAGAAGAATTTATTAAAAACCAAAACGACAACGCTTCTAGTGCCATACCACCTTGGGCAGGTTGTACAAACGAGCAGGTCTTAAAAGATGAATGTCTTAGCTTGTCCTTAGACCGAAGTAACTTCATTCGCAATCCACCAATTGGCGTAGACTTTCAGTTTGACTATCAATTGTCCTATCCAGTTGCTCTGTCTATTATGAGACATGATCCCAATTTGGAAAAAATGCGTTACGAACTTGTACCTAGGGTAATTAAAGAGGAACATTTCTGGAGGAATTATTTCTACCGCATTAGCCTAATTTGTCAAGCAAACACCTTGTCATTTCTATCAGAAGAAGAGGACGATTTACTAAATAATTCTAATCAACTATTAAATAGTTCAAAATTAAACTTGAATGAGTTTGTATCTGATTCGCTTCAAGCCAGTATTGAAGATTTAAATGAAATAAAAGAAGGAATGAAAAAGCTTTCTTTTAAAGCCAAAAGTAATGAAGAGTGGCAGAGGGAACTTGACGTGGAATTACAGGATTATGAAACAAAATTTGAAGGAAAAACAGAGAATTCGAAGAGTGATAATTGGGAGGCAGAAATCGACGATATTTTGCAAAACGAGACTGATATAAAGTAGATTCTATATTTAAATTCTGATATGTTTTATTCTGTGGCTTAGCTTGATAATTTTAATGAATCTAAAAGTATTTGGAAGAGTTAAATTGGGATATTTTTAGTACAAAATAAGTATGTATTAAAATACTAAGTAACTCATAGTGTCTATTTTAAAAGTGTTAAGCATAAGCCGCGTTACTCCATGATGATATTAAAATATGTTCCACAAAAAAGTTTTTAAGGTATAGAAAAACACCTATATCAAAGAGTATACAATTCTTTTTCTTTTTAAGCGACAGGTGTTCGTAGTTACCTTAAATATAAGGCTGGTAACCGTTACCGGTTAACCGGTTCCGTAGAACAAAAAACCGTTAAAGAACGTAACCGGTTTAACCGTAACCGGTGTAACTCTAATCGGACCAGTGAACTGAAGTGGGGTAGAATGCTTGTCAATAGGCTTGAGACGCGACCACGGCATACGCGACTCTATGGGCGAAGACAGGTTATTTTTCATCTCACTCGGGAGTATTTATAACAACCATTTTCTATTTCACTTTGTTATTGTCTGATCCACCAGCTTGTGGATTGAACAATAACAATGTGAAACAGAAAATGGTTATTATAAATACTCCCGAGTGAGATGAGAAATAAAAATGGCTGCGCCCATAGAGTCGCATCTTGTTTTATTGATAGAATATGCACATTGGCTTTCTACCCCCACCCCAGTTCATTGAATCGAACCGGTTAAACCTGTCACTTGTTGAGCTGTAAATGGTTTAACAGTACCCGAAACCGGTTTTAGCGAGACCGTGAAAATAAACGAACAAGTATAGTTTGAGCTCATAGTAGGGATTCTCATATTTCTTAAAACGTCGATACTGACATCGAATGATATACCAAAAAAAGTATCGATGGCATTAAACTGACCGAAGTGAAAAAAACGATATTTATAAACATCGATCTATTTAAAACTTATAAATTTAAAAGTAGGTAAAGCAAAATGAGACTGTATTTATTTTATAAAAAAATACAAACAAATGTAATATTAAAACAAAGCAAAACTATGAAAATATGTTTTAATAAAATTACATCACAGTTATCCGAAATACGCTTCAAAACTTTTTCATTGACTATTAGAAAAATTTATGTTTTTTTTTTTTAATTTGAGACCGATTTAAATAAAGATACAATATGCTGAAGAATGGAAATTATTAAATAAAACATCGATGTCGATCGATGTTAATAAAAAAATAAAACTGACGAAAATTGAAACATCGAACGTCGCGTTGAAAGCCAAATATCGATGTTTTTCAAACATGACGTATCGTGCGCATCCCTAGCTGTTAGTTACGCCTCTCGATACTAGAGGGAGTAGAAGAGCTTCCTGGTCCTGTACCATATTTTTGGGTCAGTTTTATTAGAATTAGAAAGTCTCAGACAGTGCTACACCCAAATTACAGTTAAAATTTAAAATTAATAATACTTGCTATTGTTTAAAATGTCATAAATTTGGAACTATTATACTAAAGAAGATTCAAAGCAAAACGCAATTTGCAACATTTGCGAAAACTCTTTCAAAAATTCTGGAAGTACTAGTACTTTTGGAGCCACCTGACAAGCCCAGTTTCAGACGAATTTGACAAACGATTTCATTTAAAGGATACCCTGACGAATAAGTTTGAAAACATTTCAACTGCGGACTTTGCAACCTATTTTGACCCCAGATATAAAAATATTGAAAGAAAAATGGGCTTTCGGTTGAAAGTCAAGTACAAGTTGGAAACACAAATTATAACTATGTCTGAGGAAATGGATGAGATGCCAACTAATTCTGAATCTGAAGCCAACAAGAAATCGACCTAGTAATTATCTTTCGGAAGTGAAGGAATACAATTCTGAGATATTATTACGAAAGGATCAAAATCCATTAACTTGGTGAAAAAACAACGCAAATAATAAATACCCTGTGCTGGCCGAATCCGGTCTAACCGGTCCGGTTCGACCGGCTCGGTTTGATGGGACTGGTTAACCGGATAAACTGACCAACTGACCGGATATCCGGACCGGTTAACCGGATATCTGAACCAGTTAACCAAATAATCGGACCGGTTAACAGGATATCCGGACCGGTTACAATAATAGTAAAAATCCGGTTAAAATCGAAACCGGTCAAAATCAGTCGAACCGGTTAACCGTTAATCACATCAGGAACTGATAGCCTTACTTAAATGTGACTCGTATCTCTTTGTTAGGCAGGTTTTTTGTGGTTCACTCTTTATATATAAACATCTATTTAAAATTAAATTGTTCTATCTTTAAGTAAACGGAATTAACAATACCTATAAGGGGGTGGGTGGCTCAGTGGTAGTCTCTGCCTGCGGATCCAAGGGTCCCGGGTTCGAATCACACCGTTGGCCGGGATTTTTTCATTTAATTTATTTAAAATTAATTCTGATGCCTTGTTAGAATTCCCCACTCGACCATTCACTGTTGGATTCTAATTAATAGTGCTGTTCCTAAAGTGGCATTGGGAAATAGTAACAAAGCCTACACAGAACACGAGGCTAATAACCTTAGTAGTTGATGCCGATGACATCAAAATAAAAAAAAACCAATACCTATAGCCTATTAAAATTCGAAAGGTATCTTTAAATATTTTAGGAGCTCTAATTTCTTCGTGATTATTCATTTACTATGATTAGTTTCTGTTAGTGGTAAAAAGTTATAATTCCTAAATTCTTTATAAATTATTTCTTCATTACTAAATTTGAAGACTTCAAAATTTTTATTTTTTAAAAAAGAATAACTTAAATCATGACCAAATCGTGTATTATCCATACAGGTATATACATCCAGTGTATCGCCAATATCATAATTCACTTTTAGCACCAACAAGCAGCTCGTTACGACACTACTGAACTGGCGCATCCTTTCAGCCCCAGTGGACGTACTACGTACGTCATTGCGCTATATTTTTGGACGTACAACGTACGTCAAGTAAAAATTAATCGAGAAGACAGCTGACAATGTTTGTTTACCTTCTCTTGAATTATGGATTACACACAAAAAAATTATCAGTGCTTTCTTGATGACTTGATAAAAAAAAACGTTTACTACATAAATCGTTTAAAAACACTAATGTTTATTTAACATTCTTAGCTCATGGAAATAACCGAATAGGTACATCTCAAAGAGCTTGGTAAAACTACCTATAAGTATGTTTATAAAAGTTTAATTTATAATGTAAACTTTAATTTACTTAACAAAAAAACTACGCCAACACAAATAAAGATTATGTTTTTTTTTTCGTTTACTATTTAGTATTTAAAATGAACTCGAGTGATTCAGATTCCGGTTCCGATTTTCTGTTAGAAAATATCACTTCAGGTAGTGAATGTGAAAGTTTTTATGATAGAGATGACAGAAAATATGTCAGACTATAGTAACGCGTCATCTATAGACAATAATCTGGCTGGGTGGAATGTCATAGGTGATCCGATTAAAGATAGACTGCCTAATCATGTTCCAAAATTTCTTGGCATTTCTTGTCCAAACATAGAGGTTTTCCCACATGAAGACGTATCGTTTACAAGGTCTGTAGATAGCGACTAGTGTTACCTATTATTTTCGTTTCATGGGGGAATACTTTTTGAGTCATTGTTACGGAATGGTCAATATTTGAATAACTGTATTTATTTTATTTTTATTTATATTTATTTAATTTTATTTATTTTCTTTTATCCATTAGTAAATACATGGTCTAAACATGTACCAGAAGATGGCCTCGTTGGCAAGTTTTGTAGTATTCTCGTTGGTGTCGTCTAAGATGTCTATATTGATGTCTCCCAAAAATAAATTATAAGCAAAATTATCTGGTTAGTTTGTAAGTATTAGTTCCAGTTCATCAATAAATGGCTCTATCATAGTACTGTAAGTATACTGCGTTCTATGGGCACACTTAGGTCAAAAAGGAAAACTTTAAAAATGCTTCGGATATTATTCTGCATATTTTTAATGTTTGTATTTGCCTCATTCACTTCTAATATTTGTTCTGCTTCTTGTGAGTTATCTAAATAGTAGGTTTCTAATTTGTCTATATTAAAATCACGAATAAATGGATTTATCTCATTGTTTATTAATAAAAAGCCTAAAGTGACAAATACAATAATATACTAGTATTTTTTAAAATTGTCCAAGTAAATCTAATACTAATCAGCCACTATTTAATATGTATGAAGAGGTGCAGATGCACCTATTTATTGGCCTGCTCGTTCGCCAATTGATTTTATTTTTTTGGGTATTATGAAAGAGGACGTATATTCAATTACTATTGAAAATAAAAATGAACTTTTGAAGCAAATAATGTTAGCCGCTAACAGATTTAGAGGCAAACCTAATATTTTTCAAAATATTCGGTTTTATTTAAAAAAAAAGATGTAGGGTATGTATTCAAGAAGGAGGAGGATATGTTGAACATTTACTAATTTAAATAGTTTATAAAATAGATATAATAATTATTGTCAAGTTTCTGTTAATTGTTTATTTTTAATTGTTAATTTTTTGTTAATTGTTTAAATAAAAAATAAATTTATTAAATACATTTCCAATTTAACGTGTATTTGTATTAGTGGCATGATGAGCCCATGGGGACTTGTGGCACACCATTTTTATGACGCCAATCCAATATTATGAATACCTTTTTTAGAAAAATATAAATAAAAGAGGTAGTCTTTTCAGGGGGCGGCTCAAGCGCAGCCCTAGTCATACCACGGATTTTTAAAAGCGTTTTTTATACAATAACTCCTGACCTACTCTTAGTTTTGTATTTATGTATTTATGTTACGGGCGAATTGCTCTAGAAATTCAGTTAAAAAATTGTAGATAACTCGTTAACTAAGAGAGATACAAAGTTCGTTTCGCTATAAAAAAATCAAAATTTATATATATAGTTTTTCTGAATGGTAGTTTAGCACCCTATAACTTTGTTGGGAGCCATTTTTTGATATAAGTAAATATAGCCAA